AGAGAGAGGGGCCTTGGAAGACCAAGGAAACACCTCAATTGTAAGGACAGAGGGAGAAAAGAGAGAAGGGGAAATCTCCGGACTTCCTTGCAGAGAGAGGGGCCTTGGAAGATCAAGGAAACACCTCAATTGTAAGACAGAGGGAGAAGAAGAGAAGAAGAGAGAAGAGGGATAATTTTCTAAAGGTTTTAAGGGCCTATTGATACTTTTTTGGGAGAGAGAAAAGTTTTTAGAGTTTTTAATATTTTGAATTTTTCGGAATTTTTCAGAATTTTTTGGGAATTTTTTGGGCCAAAAAACAAAAAAAAAATTAATTTTTAATTGGTGTGGGCACCACTTTAGGCGGTGGCCAAACAACCTCACCTCCCACCGCCTTACGGAGCGGCAGCTCCAAGCGGCGCGGGCTGCCCGACGTTTTTGGGGTCCCGTACACGTTTTTCGACGTTCCTGACTCAATTTCGATACTTTCAGAGCTCAACATGGCCTCTATGATCAAGTTCGAGTAAGTTATTAATTTTTTAACGCAATTTTTTGCGTTTCGGTCGGTATAAAATTTCAGAACAAGTACTTTCGGACTTTTGGAGTTTCGGCGTCCGAAAATAGGGGGCAACTGATACATCATCAAAAAATTATCTTGATCGGGCACGAATCTTGATGCAAAATTGGGTTGGAAACTTCTAAAATTAATTCAGATACCATCTCAATTCCAATTTCAGCAAACTTATAGTCAAACTGAGCGTCTCGGAAATACGAACCCAACGACACCAAGTTCGACCCAATCCTAGCCCGAATGGGTCCAAATCATAGACCCGAAGCACTGTTGGAAGGTTCAAACCACAATTTGAGTTACCAAACGGACTCCGATTTTAACGAGCATATACTCGAATCGAACGGCTCGATGAGACGAATCCAACGAGCCCAAAATCACTGAATTCCGACATCACTAAGGCCCTCAAATGACCAACGAACGGTGCTTGATCGTAGGATTCAATATCGGCCGTCCATTCAACCACTCCCTATTCGCCCCTGATCTCACGCCTATTTACGAGCCATGCCAATCCAGAAAATCTATAAATAGAGCCCTCATTTCTCATGAGAGGGGATCCAAGCAAGAAAGAGAAGAAGAGAAGAGAAGGAAAAAGCTCCTCCTCGACAGCCGCCGGACCACCACCGGACCACCACCGGACCACCGCAGAAGCACCGCCGGACCACCGCCGGAACCTCGCCGGACCACCGCCTTAAGGCCCGACATTCAGACCCGAAGTCCTGTTAAAGACCAGACGTTCTGCTCAAGGTTCGTCGTCCTGCTGAAGGCCCGACGTCCTGCTCAAGGCCGGATTATCAACACCCGAACTTCAAAGTGACATCAAGCCTAACACCTGATTCCTATCAAATAGTTACTGATTGTAAATCTGATCGCCCTTAGAGGGGATTCAGTTCTTTGTAACTGACTCAACGTCTATTGGATTTATTTCAACTGGGCTATGCCCCGTGGTTTTTCCCCTTTTTAAGGGTTTTCCACGTAAAAAATCTTGTGTTCTCTATGTGTGAGCTAGTTATCCGTACAACATTAAGACGCAGAATTAAATCTCTATCGCCGCGTATTTTCTAGCCCGCAACAGAAAACAAATCCTCCTAGCCGTGGTTTTGAATTTCCAAGCATTAAAGAGGCTTTAATTGCATTAAACGGGTATTAAATGACATATATATGTCACTTTGACATATTTAAGACTTGGTTTGACCTAGTCAAATAGGTCCAAGATATGGGTGGATTGAGCTAGGAAGCCATGAAATTGGATTGAAATCAATTAAAAGACATTTGGGTCAATTTGGGTCAACCCTGGTTGACCCAGGACCTGGGACTGGGCTCAACAGACTCAGTTTGACCCAAGAAATTGATTGGGATAGGTCTTGAGTCTTAGCTTGGTCAAATTGACCAAGTCAAACTCTTTGACCAAGAGTTTTGACAAAATCAAGATCAACACCTTTATCTCACCTTATTGGTATTGGTGTGCAACTGAGGTAAGAAAGAGATCTTAGGCATATGCAATAGAATAGGTGTTTTACTAGTCGTACTACATGTCTCTCTCTATATTGGGATACTCTAAGTTCTTTCTTCGTTTGGTGGAGTTGACAACTCGGTTATGTAGTTTTGTTTTGGTACAGTAATACGTAGAATTTTTGTAAGAATACATACTCTTTGTCTTCCCAAGCCAATTCCTGCTCCTAGCTAACTAAGCATTCGTTCGGAGTTGGAGAAGATCGGCTCCAATTCATCTTGGGTTGGGATCTTAACCTTTAACTGGTATGAACTAAAGAATAAAAAGAAAGTCTCATCCTGTCCTTTTAGGCATAATACTTCCAATTGAATTCTTTGCAGATCGTCTGCTATTTCAGATTCCAATTCAAAGTCTTGTTTTCTTTCTTGATTTTAGTTTAATAATATATCTTATCTAAAATAAGAAGTAGCTCGCCCTTATTCAAGGAGAGGGTAGCTTGCTATGCTCAACTGTGAAGGAGAGGACTATATAGATGCTTGAGAACATGTTGCGGGTATGTAGCTGAGATTGGCAAGATTGTTGGGATGATCGGCTACCATGGAGAGGAGATAAGTATAATAATGCCCTTCTTAAAATCTATAAAGACTCCTCAATTTTAGTCATTTAAGGCATTCATGATTGTAGGATTTTCTATGATCAAGGGAGCTTATACCTAGGGAAGTCCTAAAAGCCGTCATCAATAAGTTACTATAAGATTTTCTAGGCCTACAAAGTAGAAATGACAAGGAAAAAGAATCCTTTAGGATAAGGACATTTTGTCAAATAATTATTCTGATAAGGACTACGTACAATCAATGCACGATAGCACTTGCGGATAACAAAATCCAATTAGATTTGAATTTAAAATATATGACAAAGTTAATGGAAAACAAAGTAGAAATGACACAAAACAGAGATGAAAAAATCAAGAGATTATAGTCAAGCACAAAACCAATGCATTAGACTCTTTTTTAAGAGAGTGTTGTTTGATTTGATTGTTGAAGATAAATAAATGGGAATGTAAAAAAGATAACACTTGAACCCTAAAAACAACTTCCTGAATGAAGCATGAAAACTTGCCTTGCTATGATATAAATGCTATTAAACATGAAAAATTTGAAGCATTTCCATATTTATGTAGGATGACTCAAGATTAAGAATTGTAGACTTCCAATTACCAGTTAAATCAACACCTTTCTTTAAATGTAAACAAACAATTTTAGAGTTTAAGCTAAATGATAATGAAATAATCAAAATAATACAAGAATTTCAATAAGAAGAGCGAAACAAATAAAATCAATGCGCAAATTAAATTTAATTTTGCCATATCAAATTTTTAAAATGTAACTTTGGGATTAAAATCAAGAGCACTAAGCATGTGGACAACTAATAATGTAGTGCAATAGAACAATGAATGAAAAAACACTAAAGCAAGAAAAAACAATTCTCACACCAATACAGGGAGATGACTTCCTCCAAAATAAAATATTCAAGCTTATACTACACTCGAACGAATCAAACATCTAATTTATGCCCACAAGATTAAAACTAGAAAGAAAAGTTTTATTTAAGTCGAACATTTTGAATAACATGCCTTAAATCAACTATTTACAGACTCTCATAACCTAAGCTAATTAATAAGATTGGCACATATTTAGATACATCCATATCCACACTATATACATGGGAATATCCTTCAAGAGAATCACAAAAACCAAGCCACAATAAGCAAAAACCCATTCACAGAAAACAGCATAGGGATTCAAAAGAATTCTAGAGGGATAAAGCCAGCAGCTACATAAATCCAAAATCCATATAACTTCAAATACCACTGACTAATGATAAAACTAACTACTGCAAGTATTCAAGTTTCCATTTCCAAGAAAATAATACCACTCGTTGCATGCATCCACACTTAAATGCCCAAAGCAATTTATTCATGCATTACATATCAACCTTAATAAGGCATAATAAAAATAAACCTCCCGTTAATGTGAAGCATGGATAATGGTAGATGTATGTTGCCTTACCCAATAGCCTTATATTATAATGGAGACAACTTAACTAATACTCTGAGCTTGCCCTCTACCCAAGTCAACCTTAATAACAAACAAACTAAAGTATTAAAATCAAAATCTGAACAAAACATCATCATCAACCTCCTTCCAACTTTTTAAGGTTGGATTTATGAATTCTGATTCTTTATTCCTTTCTGGAGAGTGTTGCATAGGGTTTCAAACCCATTTTGATTAAATTTTTTTGCGCAATATCTATCCACATGAACTTTGCCCTCATTTTTCCTTCATAATTCTTTGATATTAATTGCAGCAACCCACCTTATTTTGTACATCTTCTACCCTTCATTGGAAAAACCTAAATTACTCGTATATATTTTTCACCATCTTATTTGAAGCAGAATCTACTCCCAACATCCCTCTAAAATCATAATTTCTCAATTTTTCCATCCTAGTTCCTCCAACACATTGATTCCAGACCTAATGAGCAACTAGGTTGGAATGGTATGATATATAACAATTTCAATCCTCATGTTGCATAAATCTGAATACAATGGAATGATTTTAAAAATATAACAAAGCCCAAACACAAGCCAAACTTATTAAAGAGTTAAAATCACATTATAATACTCAAAAGCAAGTCAAATTACCAATATAATTAATGGCAAAGAAATTTCAAGCATAATGTAACAGGCACTCATCTTGAACTCAAACTAGTTGATAGAAGAAATATACAAATATAAAGTTAAAAATCATGCATACAAGGTAACTGCCACAACAACAAGTAATATTGCTTCTATAGAAACAATAAAATTAGTCGAAAGCAAACTGCTAAACCAATTATGTAATAGGAACAAAAAAAAATTTAGCACAAAGTTCAACAAATTTGATAAACAATAAATTGGCAATGCTTAAATTAGAGTACTATAATACACCATTGTGTCACCTGAGCAAGCCGTTCTTCTCTTCTGGCAATCTTCCTCTCCCTACTTGCTTTGCTCTTTGCCCTCTTGGCCTCAAATTGGTCAGACAAGGTCTTTTCTCTTGCCTTTTCAGCCTTAGACTTGTGAATACTCTCCATCAAGACTCTCTTGTTCTTAAAGACATTACCTTTTACCTTCATGTACATATCATGGTACATGTGTTTGTCAATTTTCTTGGCCTCGCGATACTTTCTAAGCAAACGCCTCAAAACCCTCATCCTCCTCATCCACAAAACCTTCGTAGGAAGCCTAGCTTCCCGAGTACCCTTGCGCTTACCTAAAAAATTTTAACTTTCAATAACTAACAAGTTCTCACATCACATGCTCCATGCTCCGAGGAAATGTGCTATGATATACCATATCCGGAGTGACGCCCCTTCCTCTTGGCTTCTGCCATGCGCCGTGCACGGGATCGAGAGTGAATCTTCATGGGTTTTTTTATGATAAAACCATCTTTAACCAACTTTCTAATGTTTTGCCCTGCAATTTAAGAAAACTAGAGATAAGAAACCCTACTAAAAAGGTTCTAGTTTTGGAAAATACAAAGAAGAATCTTCCAAACAAGTAAAGATGTTAGCCCACCATCCAATTAGGCACAAAAGGTTAATTATTTTACGATGCAAAGAGTAAAATTCATCCAATCTTATTGGCTGAATGCATGGTGGGAACCAATATGTATGCTTGCACAGAGCCCTAATGGAATTATCATATCTAAAACAAACAGGCATGTCTCCTAGCAGGTTTATGCTATACAGAAAAAAAAAAAGGAAAAATTAGTAATTTTCCACATGGAATTCCCAGAGCTCGGAAAATATTTAAATTGCGACGAAGCATTGATGATGGAAATATCAAATATCCAACAATTGAACGCTTTCGAGAAGGCCAAACTCTTAGAACTCGATCTTTCGCTCCATTGATAAAATTTTAGGGCAAGCAAAATCTACATCTCGGAAGAAATCTGCGCAGAAAGTGGCGTGGAACTTACGAGAGTTGGCCATGGATATCTCGCTGACCTCATTGGGATCTAGCCAGACCTTTCCCTTGCCGCAGCTAAGCACGCTCGCCGCGAGCCGCTTCTGGAGCTTAAGCGAAACCATCGTTCCTTGTCCCGCCGCCTTGTCCGCTCTGTTTTGCTCGAACAGAAACAAATCAGGCGCGGCGGAGAGTAACGCCTCTTATTGGTTTCTTGGAATTAGGCTAGGGTTACTGCCTTACTGGCCTTATTTTTTGAGAGATAATTACGTGTGGACTTCAAATATGTGGAGGCCAATTCGAACGCGCCACTTCATTTCATCCAGATGATCGGATACATCAGATTTGGGTGATGTGACGCATCCAAATTGATCTCCGGATGAATTCGAATGCCGCACTTAATAATTTTTCTTATTTTTTCGGAGGCAATTGCATAAATAATATTTAGATTTTAATTCTTTGTTAAATTAAGAATCCCTTACTTTAATTTCTACTCAAATATTAAAACTAAAACAAAAAATCAGCTGATTTTTCTGTCAAATTTATATCATGCCATTCATAAATCATAAATTCAATAATTCAAATAAAATAATATTAATAAAAAATTTGTAAATAAGCAAATTTAATATATTATGTATGCTATTTCTCTTATTTTTTAAGCCATGTATATATATAATAAATTGAATGGAGTGTGAGTCTATCGAGGAAACTTTCTAAGTACTACTAGGAGATTGATTGTCTCTTCTGCTCGTACATGTCGATTATCAAATCCATATAATGGAAATACAGCAGGTTGAAGTTTTTCTCTTGAGAGACTCTAGTTGAATATAGTGGACCTGCAAGAGTGCTGGATATCCATTTTGCAAGTTTTTATATTAAAAAAAAATTAACCCAAATCGCCAGCGGCGAACTGCCGCCCGACCGCCAAATGGCAAACTAAACTACGCGGGCCAGCCAGGTCGTGACCGGGTCGGTGTAGCGGATCAGGGTGGGTCACAGGCGGGTCAGCACAGTAGGCCAGGCGGCCGCGGGCAAGCTAGCAACTCGGGACGCGAGAAGATATGCACAGCGGGCCAGAGAGGTCATGGGCGGGCCACAGAGCGGACCAGACAGGCCAGCTCGCGGTTCAGTCGCCGCCGGTGGCGAAGACGACGGCCGGCCAGCCGGTTCGACTGCCTATAATAATCTGGACCCAATTTTTGGCCTGGACAAGCCAAATCGGGAACAATTATTAGGTCAGGTGTTCTGACGTAGCTCTACGTTCGAATGCCAATAGCATGTCGTCACGTGCTCTTACTCTTTACCGCGCGGCTCGACAACTTGACCCGGAACTGAACCCGGGATTGATATGTTCATGTATTGCTAGGTATTGCTTGGCAATAATGAAAAATATTGCTTTGTGAAGACTAATACCAAGCAATACCGAGAATACCTAGCAAAACTCAGTATTGCTCGGTATTGGTCTTCACATAATGGTATTTCTCGTTATTGCCGAGCAAAATCGACCAATACCTAGTAATACCAAGTAATGCCTAGCAATACACGAACATAGCAACCCGGGGCTGTTCTGGGCTGAGTTGTCGGGCCACGCGGTAAAGAGTAAGAACACATGGCACTATTTTACAGGTGTCCGAACGTAGAACTACGTCAGGTCACCTGACCAAATAAAAGTTTCCAAATCAAACATTTCTAGAGTCCCCGGGACCATTTTTCAATGTTTCGGACTCAATTTCGACACTTTTAAAATCATTCGAGACCTCTACGCGCAATATTGGATTTCAAATGGCATGAAAAATTCTCCAAAATTTGTGACGCATTTTTTCAGACTTCTAGGGCTTCGACGTCTGAAAATATTGAGGGCAACTGATATATCATCAAAAATTATCTTGATCGGGCACGAATCTCAATGCAAAATCAGGATGAAAGCTTCAAAAATTAAATATGGAACTAAATTCATATTTTAGCAAACTTACAGTTAAACTGAGCGTCTCAAAAATACAAATCCAACGACACCAAATTCAACTCAATATAAGCCCAAATGTGCCCGAATTGAAGACCTGAAGGGTTGTTGGGATGTTCAAACCACAATTTGGATTATCAAATAGTTTCGAAACATGACATGCTTATAGTCGAATCGAGCGGCTCAATGAGACGAATCCAACGAGTCTAAGATTGTCGAATTCTGATATCATTAAGACCTTCTAATGTCTAACGAATGGTCCACAATCAAGACATTCAATATCGGTCGTCCATCCAAACCACTCGCCTTTGCCCTTTGATCCTCCTCCTATTTACGGGTCATGTCATCCTCAAAAACTATAAATAGCCCGTCATTTCTCTTAAGAGGGGACGCAAGCAAGAAGAGAGGAGTACAAGAAGAAGAGAATAATAGAAGGAAGGAAGAAGCTCCTCCTCGACCACTGTTGGAGTTCCGCCCGAATTCCAAGTGACGCCGGAGTTCCGCCCGACTTCCAAGTGACGCCGGAGTTTCACCCGACTTCCAAGTGAAGTCGAAGTTTTGTCCGACTTTCAAGTGACGCCGAAACTCCGTCCGATCTCCAAGTGATTTCGGAATTCTGTATAATCTCCAAGTGACTCTGGGATTCTGCTCTAATACACAACTTGTTTATAACTGGATTTCAATCCATGAGTGAATCATTGTAATCTGATCGTCCTAAATTTTAAGGACGAGTCAGCCTCTTGTTCCTGAAGCAAACACTAGTGAAATTTTTTCAACTGGGCGTGGCCCCTTGGGTTTTTCCTTTATAGGGTTTCTATGTAAAAATTCTGGTATTTTATTTCTCTTCTGTTTGTGTGTTGAATGTCCGTACAACGCTGAGACGAAAAATTTATAACTCTATCGCCGCGTATATTCTAGCCCACAACAAAACTAATATTTTTTTAGCTCATCACGCTCATCACACTGACATTGCAAATAAGAAATAATAGGTTATTATTAGGAAAGTGAGCCACATTTATGTTGTATGTGTGAGGATTATTAAGGAGGTGAATCACCACAACATGCTCAAATTATTATTCAGGCATTATGATGCATAATAGTGATTGAATATTTTTGTGTATTAATGTATTTATGCATTATCTTTTTATAATAAAAATTATTATAAGAGAATTTATATAATATTATTATATGATATGAAAATGTTCAAATATTAAATATCAAATGAGCCAGACTTTTAGCCCACAATTCAAAGTCAAGTCAACTTGTTGTGTCACCATTCCACCTCATCAAAAGTAAACCTTGCAAGTTAGTAAACACATGTAAGAAGTTATGTGGAAGAAGGGATGGCTTCTTGGAGCTATTCATGAAAATCAACTCCTTCTTTGTGGACTGAGTGGTGCACACATCTCATATTAATTGTTGAGCTGCACGTAGTAATTCATTGAAGTTTTATGTGTCCCTGTTAGGTAGCTCCTTTATATGTTTCATAAATTACAAGATAACTGCATTAAAAACCATCTCTTGATATTTCATTTTATTTTCTCTCTCTTCTACTCTATAATTTGTTGGAGGATTACATTTTGTGTTGAAAATGTTGCTCGTATCCTTCGATAAATTAGAAATCACTAGTACAATGATATAACAATTAGATTGCATCTAAAAAAAACTCAAATATAAACAAGGGCGGAACCCTATGTAACTTAGGGGGGGCAATTGCCCACCCCCCTCAAAAAATAAATTTTTAACTTAAAGGAGGGTAAAAAATTCATTTTGCCCCTCCTAAAAAATTAAAATATGGTGATGATTTTGATAGACATTTAGTTTGCATTTTAGAAGCTAAAATTTTTTTTTAGATCAAATATAAAGCTAAAAAATTTTAAAACAACCTTTCATAATATTATATATAATATTTTTAATATTTAATTCTTTTTATTTAATTATTTTTATATTAAAATTGCCCCCCCCTCAAAATTGGAGCTGGTTCCTCCCCTGAATATAAAGAACTATAAAAAAATTGCGACGTTAACTTAAAAACTTCAAATCAATTTTTACACAAAATATAACTGATAAAATCATTAATTGAATGAAAATGATAAAAGAGATGAAAATTTATCTTAAAAATCCTTGAAGAAATGAAAAAAAAAAATGGTCAAGAGATGGGTTTGAACAGGGTATGGGAGGACAAAGAAAATAGGGAGGGAAGCAATGCCTTCTCCAGTGGAATCTTCGATGAATTTGTTAATCAGAAAATTTGACAGCCTTAAGTATACCAAGAAATCAACCAATTTTGTTATTGAAAATTCTGACGGCTTATAATATGTCGAAAATTATTATTTTTCTTATAGTGGTTATTTTGCTTCAATTTGGACTAATTAATTAGCCTAAAAATTTAATGGCCTTAATTTGTTATTATGAATAATTAGAGAAGAGTATTTATATAATAAAACCTAGTATTTATAATTTCTTTGATTATTGTTAATCCTAAAATGATTGATAAATTATGGTTAATGTTAGTCAAACTCTTAATTAGCATAATCGTTCATTATAATTTGAAACATCTTTAATTGAATGATTAACCTATTATGGTTTAATAATCAAATATAATTACTTAAATTATTAATTAAAAATTCTCACATGTTTAAACTATTTCAGTTTATCAATGATGTAAATTTAGTTGAATTATGGAGATTATTATTTGACTAAGTAAATAACTTTTCATTAAAAACTAATATAGTTTTATTAAAAGGTGTACTTAAAAAATATTTAGCTAAGTTTCTAGCTTAAAATTTTATATTTTGAATATCATAAAAATATAGAAAATCTTAAAATTCAAAATATTATCAATTTATTTAACTTTGGTTCAATTAGTTATCAAAATATTTTAAGTTTAAAATGATTAAAACACTAGCTCATCAATCATAGGCTAGGGTTCTCTGATCAACAAAGGTTAATATGCTTCATTGACCTAGCCAAATAGAATTAGGGTTAAGCATGGTTTCTCTTGATCTTTATATTTTATAAATCATAATGCATTAGCAAGCAGATTTAGAATCATGTGTAGCATACATTTTTAATATATTTTATCGTTTAATTTCTCTTAGAAGGTTAGGTTTAAACCTAGAATATACAAGTTAATCTCAATGGTGAACATCCACTACAGGAAAATCACCCAAAACCGGCAGCATTGACCGGCGGTTGTTAGGAAAGTTGCTATTTGCATGTTTTACATTCTTGCAACTTGTATTATTTTGATGATTCCAAATATTATTGTTT